TACCCCAAAATTCTGCTGTCGAGCAGGGGAAGGGGATAAACAGTACATGTGAAACAGGAAAACCACGAAAAGTCAACAAGGAAAACACGAACCCCCTCCCAACAACGAGGAAACACGATCCCCCTTTCATAGTGTCCCTGAGACAGGAAAAATCAACTATCAAAAAATTTCTACTCAGCCCGAATACGAGCCCCCTCCCAGCAAGTGCGACCTCCCTCTGCTGGAGAATCCCCAACAACGATGTGCCCTGGGCATCAGATTGAGGGTAATGGGCTGGTTGATGGCGAAGCCGGTCATAAAAATAATGGGCAGTAGCCGCGATAGAATCAATTATAATTCGCACTCAGAGGACTTACCAGTTTTGTTATTATTTAGTATTTTCGCCATAAATCCGTAGAATTTGTGATAAGCCGGCACAAGCGTATCTCTTCCTATGGCTTCCTGAAGCAAATAGTTCGTTCACTATTTTTATGTATTGGGTTGGCCATAAGTAACGGCGTTTTTTTTCAATTGGAAATTTTGTTCAGAAAAGTGAAATGTTTTGCAAGCAAGTTTGATATCATCTGATAGGAAACTTCTCGTACTATAAGAATATCGAAACAGCTTCGGGTGAGGAAATGATTTTTGTAAATTTTTTAGTCGTTGAAGTTGAAAGTTGAGTCGGCGAAAATTAGTACCTTCGACAGCTGCCTCTACAGTCCTCATCATTGCGGACCGGTGGGGCGTGTCAGTGCGGCTGCGTTTGGCGCGGTGCCAAAGTCGTTCTGCACCAGTTGTTGAAGCGGGCAAGTGACATTACTGTATTATATCCTTCGTATTACTCGTTTTCTACCACTTTTTGTCGCATACGCGTTTCAACAAAAAGGCTGAGAACGGCTTCAACAGTGTGCACACTCATACTGGCTGACACGCCCCGCCGGTCCGCAATGATGAGGACTGTATTCACGTCTATTCGAAGTGCTAAAATCGTTCAAGCTGCTCGCCATGGTTTGAGTAAAGCACTGAGTAACAGACTGATGCTAGGACGGCTCACAATTGATTTTGAAAAAAAGCAAAACCGACAACGCTGACCTTGCAGACATCCGGTCGACCCATACCTCACGATTTTTTTTTTGTTTTCCTGAGTAAATTTCAACACAGTATTTACAACACTATAAAAATATAGATATTTACAATAAACTAGTCAATGAATATTCTCCATTGTTTCTTACAACCTCCTCCCACCGATCAGCCAGCTCAGTCAGTCACCGAGAAGGCATTGAAAAGCTGGCTGATCGGTGGGAGGAGGTTGTAAGAAACAATGGAGAATATATTATTGACTAGTTTATTGTAAGCATCTATATTTTTATAGTGTTGTAAATATTGTGTATGAAATTTAATCAGGAAAACAAAAAAAAAATCGTGAGGTATGGGTCGACCGGATGTCTGCAAGGTCAGCGTTGTCGGTTTTGCTTTTCTCAAAATCAATTGTGAGCCGTCCTAATATTAATCTGTTACTCAATGCTTTACTCAAACCATGGCGAATCTATTGAGCTGCTCCAGGGGCTTTGAAGCTTCCGTGGAAAGCGGTAGGGAGAAGAAGTCGGGAATGCTGATTCTCATCGACCTGACATTCCGTATTAATAACCTGAAATTAACAGAAAGTAAACAGCTATGGAAAACAGATTTCCATTGCAGTGTTATAGAGCACGAAATTTGCTATCAGAGCATACAAAACACATTAGCGAAACATTCAACTATTAGCATAAAATTTCAAGTGGAACAGACGCGATGACTTGTGATCCTGCCCATTATCTGCGAGGTAAAGGTTGCCAACTTCAAAACTTGGAATTAGTTCTGAAGCGTCCTATGAGGATTCCCTCGCTGGGACTTTTAGCCCAACCTATTGCAAACGTATGGAGCACTTAAGCGATTTTAGCACTTCGAATAGACGTAAATAGAGGGAGCTATCGAAAGGTAGTCATTTTCGCCGACTCAACTTTCAACTTCAACGACTAAAAAACTTACAAAAATCATTTCCTCACCCAAAGCTGTTTCGATATTCTTATAGTACGAGAAGTTTCCTATCAGATGATATCAAACTTGCTTGCAAAACATTTCACTTTTTAACAAAATTTCCAATTGAAAAAAACGCCATTACTTATGGCCAACCCAATACATAAACAAATTTTAGAAGAACGTGGGTTGAACGTGGGTGAGGAGGTCCAGAATGCGCAAAGGAAATCGTCAGCACATTTGGACAAAAGGAAAAATTCATGTCCAACTCACCGGATCACCCTTTTGAAATCCAAGCACTGCTCCGAAGTATGGACGAATCTCTTGGAAAAAGTCCTTGTACTGGTCGGCAATAGCGTCCACTTGTGCCTGATCCCAAGCGGTTTTGCCGGCATAACCTGAAATGCAAATGCTACCAATCATTCAGTTGAGCTATGGGAGTGCACTCACCAAATTCCCTGGCAAGATATCGGAGAATGGCATGCGACTGGCAGAGCTTCTTTCCATCAACTTCGAGCACGGGCAACTGACCAAGAAGGCATCTCTATAAATACGTGGGTTTGTTCCCTTTAGCTCTCTCTCTCTCTCTCTCCTGAATTTAGATCTGTTTTGAGCCTCATCCCACGGTAAGCCAGAAAAACCTTTCCCGTGAGCAAGCGCTGGACTGGTCTGCAAGCGCAGAAGTGGAGCTGGATGGAGTGATGGGTCCATGTAACTAGCTCTCTTGACTATATCCGTTTTCGTCATCCAGATCACAACTTTACTCTGCCCGGACCTTTAGACCTTTTGTCTCTTTAGGACAAGCTGTAGGTTCACTTCACCTCTGAGAATTCGTTTCCATGTGGGAGCAGGGTACCGCATCGTGATCTATGAAATGGTGGTGTCAGCACGACTACCCCCCCCCTCATCACCACCTAGGAGAGGGTCTCGGTGCGACCCCTTTCCCCAGCATCAACCTACCCCTTACAACTTTCCAACAAGTTCCTAGCTTCCCCTCAGTTTTTTCGAAATTTCACACATTTTCCAGTCTTCTTCCCAAAAAATTTCCGGGGGAAGATATACAGCCAATGAAACGGGAAAGACCGCGAAAAGTCGACAACCGGGAAAATTTTTTTCCAACGCGCAAATTTCCTAACAACGACCGAATACGACCTCCTGCCCTCCCCAGCGGCCAAGTACGATCTCCCACTCAACGATGCTGTACGCTGTGTGGGCCAGTGGGGGCGCCGTGCCACTTTCTTCATCAAGCACGGGTGAGGGGCTGCGATACAGGGGTGTCCTGTTCATATTCCGCCTTCCTTATTCTCAATGTGCCAGTGCTTGCGCTGACAACGAGATTCCGCAATGAAACGCGCACTCAGCAGTAGAGAACATCAGGAGTCAGAGAGCGCAGACAGGTAGCGCGTTTGGCTATGGTTAGGCATGCCGCTAGGCTCTGCTGTAGTGCGGGCGTAGTATGGAGACCGCACTCGGGTATTACTTCCCTCCAGTCCCGTTCCCTTGAATTTTTGACCGGACAAATTAAGTCGCACTGCAGATGCGACTTTTTCAGCCCACACGAAAAGACAGGGACCCTCGGAAACTAGTGTTGTCTCAAACTTGACGGATATCGGGCACATACTTGAGAGCCCACCACCCGTATTTTGCTATCGTGGAAATTTTCTTCAATTGAATCTAGTAAGTTTTTACCGTCTTTGTGTTTTGGCCAGTCCTCAAATGTAAGTCGCACGTCCTCAAAATCTTTGCCAGCGACAACGAGCAACTGCAAGAGAATAGGTTAGCATCTGGGAATGGGTTTGGTAGTAAAGTAGTATGATTACGACAAAAGCCTACAGGTTGGAAATAATTTTGATGAAATTGACCTACCTGACGAATAGCTTCAGCAAGCCCTCGTCCCGTGAAATATGTCACCTTGTATTGAACCATCCTGAAACACAGCTTGGTTTTTATAGATCGTTGCTCCATTTCATTTTTGAGAACTACACAAATGCCGACAAAACGCGAGTTCTTGTCCAGAATAAAGATCTGTCATTCTAGAAAGGGTGTCAGGAAACTGGCGCTGTTCGGCTGATAGGGGAGGGTCAAAGGGGCAAGTTCCACTTATGGTAACTCCTTTTGCTAGTTTATGCCAGCTAAGAGGTAAAGGTAGGTGAGAAGCCCCACCAAAGTGAGAAAGCTGCGGAATAGTACAAGTGTACAAGTTCAAGTAGTACAAGTGATCCATTTCAGTAAGAAGTATTCACAAGTTTTTACAAGGTGGTCCTCGCTCGCGAACTATTTGGTGCCCCCTCCAAGCCGAATGGCGCCAAGAACTTTTGCGAATATTCGTAGAGGGTGACACATGGTGAGACCGAGGAGACAAATCACTGCAGTAATTAAACGAGTAACTTCCACCATCGAATTGTAGTAGTTTCAGAATAGTCACAGGAGAATAAAGACGAAGTGTTCACAGCAGCCCTCCCCTTTGGGAAGGAAGCGGCACTACTGACTCGTTTGTTTGCTGCGGATGCTGGGAGTGTCAAGTGGCTTGCTCTGGCGCGGCTCGCCTGTTCTCCACCCATTGTTGAAGGTGGCAAGCGAGAACAATTGGTGGGAAACGGGCTTGCTGGGGCGTGTCAGGGAAGGGGGAGGGGCGGAGCCGCACAAAACCTAGCCTCACTGACACGCTTCAGCGTGCGCCTCAATGAATGCTGAGTTGATCTGCACTAGACGGCACTGCTTTTCTATAGCAGGCTGATAAGGGTTAGGTATTGCAGTCCTTTTTATGACCAATAATCAGTAGGGAATGTAGCCTAATCAGCATAAGGGATTAAGTTCTCATTCCCATGAGCTTTGCTGCCTACAGGACCACCCACGTCGTATGCCAGCATAGGCCGTCGACCCGTGATTCGTCTTGTTCTGGCATCCCCCTTCAGGGTTTCCTCCTCTGGTACGACCTCTCTCCGATCCTACCTGGTCCCAAATTCTCCCACTTCCTTCCATGAGCGAAGGCTAGCTACGTGAAAAGGAAAACACCCAGGAAACAGAAAACGGGCACCTATCGTTATGCCGAAAGCGGGGAGAGGAGTAGTTTAGCGCCGATGAAAGTGGTGGGATAAAAAGCCGCAAAAATCGTCAAAATTCTTCGGGAGCCAAAACTGTAACTCGTGTTAGATTTTCACAGTCCAGTATTAACGTAACAACATCACTGCAACTTTTCTCCAACGAATTTCTTGGATAAAAGCTGCAACAAGAGCACCAGGAGGGCAGACTCAATTGGGTACTGTTGCGGGGAAGGGGAGGGGGCATTGGTTGTGACGTGGTGGGCTAGCTTCCGCGGGCGATTGTTGGATTGTCGAGTCTACAGAGGTCTTTTCTATGAGTGGACGAGGGCTTTACCATCGTGGCTTGAAGAGCTGTTCAGCTTATTAAGAGTTTCCAGGGTTATACTAGCAGGGCATTAAACGGCAATGTGTGAGGCGACGAGGATATGTGCGCGTAACACCCCACGCTCCCCCCCACCGCCGAACTGCGGCCAGATCATTCTATTCCTGGGTCCCAAGGATTGAAGAGAAGAACACTGAACGCGTACCTTTGTCCAGGTGAGCCAGGCATTAGGTTTCCATTTGGAAATTTGATGACCTATGAACTTGTCTAGTGGCTTACTGCAATAAGAGTCGTCGGAAAGTTCGGTTTCCCTATCTTTGGGTCAATCTATACCTGTATCCGCGAGATTGGTAGGAATGTCACATATAAGTTACTACTCTACACCAGACCTTTGTGTCTGCGACAAGCAAGATCCATAGGTCCATAGGCGACCAGACTATCCAGTGACCTAGAAACCGCAGTCAGACGGAGAGCTATAAGAATCTAGGCCAAAAGGATTTTTCAAGCAAGCAAAATCTATTCAGTCCTGGTGGGATGCGTAAGGATCTTAGGTTGGAGATTTGGCGCCTGCCGTCTTCTGAAATGATTTTTCCGCCACTAAATCCCATGACTCCATTGAAATTCAATTTCGAGAGCTTTATCTGGTCTAGAAAGATGTACTGACACACTTTTCTGCGACTGGATTTTTCTCAAGTTCAGCCTCATGAATAGATGTGACATCCCTCTGGCTGATGCAGATAACACCCCACATATAGTTAAACAGCGAGCTCAGAATGTGATTTTCCGTTGTTGCAAAGTCCGTGGAGTATGGGAGCTGCTACAAAAGCTTCTGCAGGTTTCTGAAGGGTGCTACTGGCAGCCTTCGATTGGTGAAAGGCTGCGAATCGGTGGAGCAAAATGACTTGCCTCGTTCATGAGTTCTTCATAGGTGAATGACCTCGTTTCCCCGGTGTAATCGAACTATATGAATTTCCCATCGATCGCGCGTGCCGTAGACCTTCAAAACCTCATCAATATGTCAACCGCAGCGATGCATTTCGTCCAGGTATGAAGCGCTTCTT